AAACTTTTTTTCAATAAATTCTTCAGTTAATGTTTATTTTTATAAAAGAAATTGCCTTTCTCTTAATGACAGATTTACTTGGCTTAAACAAGAAAAATATTTTAGTTGTGCTATTGAATGTGAAGCTTTTGTATTTTTCAATGCAGAGATAATATCCAGAGTAGAGACAGCAAAGGGAAAACAGTAATTCATGATTTCTTCTTTATGTGCCATGACCCCTCAGGGTGTAGGCGGTCATGGTTCTCCACAACTTCCTGTCCCTTGTAACCCTTAATAAACTCTGTCTTTCTGTTATTTCTCCTAAGCCCTCTTCTGCCATCCATTTACTCAAGCTCATTAATAATGTTATGCATTGTCTTCCTCTGTCCTGTGAGTATCAGATTTTCCAAACCCTCCTTCTTCATTATATTCCCTAGAAACCTTAACTGTCTCTTCCTGATGTTAAGTATAAGTTTCCTTTTTGTTTCCATTTTCTCCAAAACTTTGTTTTTACCCACGTGTTTGGTCCATGGTGTCCTCAGCATCCTACTGTAGAACTACATTTCTGTTTCTTCACATCTCCTCTTCATCTTTGCTGTCATACAGGAGGAAAGATATGGTAGTTTAGTAATCTTTTCCTTGTTTCTAGTGAATGGAATATACTGAGTTTGTTAAAGTAATAATTGATGAGAGATTTGTTCTCTACTACTGCTGGTCATCGTCGTGATGGTAGGTAGAATGGACAGTCTGTTGATTGGTTTTGTCACACTCTTGTGACTTTCTGATTGAGTCAGATAAATACAATCAATAAAAAAATAATCTTCTATACTTAAAAGGCTGAAGGCTTATGGTCATATCACACTGAAACACTGGTTTCTGTACCAAAGTTAAGCAACATCAAGCCTAGTCAGTGCATAGATTGGTGACTGCTTTGGAAACTTGGAAGTGTGGGTATTCTAATGAATAACAGCTGAGAATTGTTAATCAGGGAGCTGAGTTACAATTCTTATGATTTTTACAATTTATAAATATTTTCTACAATGGACTGATGTAAAAGCTGTAGAAAACAAATCAATCAATCAAAGACTTGAAAATCTCACTATAGTTTGATTATTTTGTCAGTAATTTCACTGAGAGTTCATGGCTTTATTGTCCAAATACCTAGATGTGAATGGGCAGCTTTATGCACAGCTGCAAAATTGGGAAGTTGGTCTTGAAATTTCTGAAATGAATTGGAAAGTGAAAATCAGAACTTTGAAGACAAATGAAAAGACCATTAAAAGAATATTTACAGGTTCATGTTTAAATTAGAGGAATTGTAGTTGCTGAAAAAAAACTCCACTTCCCAATCAGTCAATTAAAAAATAAAGTTTTATCAAAGGCTGAAAGAAACTGAAGCAGTGAACAGACAGTATAGAATTTCCATGCAATGGATTGTAGAGACGAATGAAATAGATCAAATGGCATCTCATCATTAAACATGCTTTATATCATGTCTGCTGTCATTTCATAACATGAAAATAAATATTGGTGAAAGAGTAGATAAAAGTAAAGTGAATATCTTTATTAAAAGAAGCTGATTATAGAATGCTTGGAAAGATTTTAGACATCTGCAAAGTTCTTGTTTTGCGAATATAATGCAAAGAAGTTTATTTATTGAGTAGCAACACACATTTTTCTACATTTGTACATATGGCTGCATCAGTTTACTGCTCAAATTCTTTTGCTTTGCTGACAAGTTCTGATTTATTTCTACATCTAAAGATAAATATTAGAATCTGTTTGAACCTATTAGTTACAATTATTTTATATGATTAAGGTACAGACCTCTACAAATATTGACTTATTAACATAACTAAAGGATTCAGCCTTGAGCATTAAAATGAGACTGAACAGCAGTGGGAGTGACTTAATATTTTTGTGATTAATAACATTTTATTCCAAAAGTTGTTCATGTAACAACAATCAATATGTCTGTCTGAAAATGTCTTCAATCAGTCGGCAACAATTTCAGTGTGGAGAAATTAGTTTTGTATTTACCTTTAGGGCTTTGTTATTTTTCTTTTTATTGTTTGAACTCAAACTGAAGTTTATAAATGGAAGAAAAGAGAGTATTTAAACATGATTGCAGACAAACATTTTATGTTCAGTAAGACCTTAAGAAAAAGAAATTATGTGATATTATTGTTATTATTAATAATAATAATTTCTTTCAGCTAAAATGAATCTCATTTTAGTTTATGAGTAGTTTCTTCACAAAATATTTAACATGAAAATCATTATATATCTTTCCCTTTCACTTCCTTCCCGTTTCTTTAAAAAATTTATATTTCACTTTATAATTGTTATTTATTAATTTATTTATTAGCATATAATTACTATTAATTTATATTTAATATATAATAATTTTTATTAAATTTACTTAATAACTTGTCTTTATTATTTCATTACTTAATCATTTTTTAATTATCCTATTAATGTTACCTTTTAACTACCCTTATTTAAAATTAAAAAAAAAAAACTTATAAAAACCTTCTGTAATTTTTAAAGATTGAATTTTCTCATGTAATTTTTCCTTATTGAAACCAGATATAAATATTTTAAAATATAGGTGAAGGTTATTTTAACTCGTGTCTGATTTCCAATTCTTCTTACCACCATGAAACCGTGTTTAAGCTTTGCCGAGACGATTTGCCTGCATGTCTAGTTGTTTTATCCTTTCTCCCCTTCCATTAATTCCCCCTCTCTCTGTTTTATCTTTTTTCTCTTGCTTTCTCTATTAATTTTTTTTTCTTACTTTCTCATCTTTCCCTTTCTCTTCCTTCCTGTTTCTTTAAAGTTTAAAAATCTTTCCGCTACCTTTTTATTTTATCTCCAAACCCCTTGGTGTTGACAAATCTTGCAAGATTAATTCTTGCAGGGAGAAATGGCTATTCATATGGGGGTATCTTTAATTTCTTTTTTATGTAATTTATTTATATATGCTCTGTAATAAGTACATTGAGGTCTCTTCATGGATCAGTTTTAATATTTTATATTATTAGGATCCACTTTGATTATTTACCCATGGATTTTTACATATATATATATATATATATATATATATATATATATATATATATATATATATATATATATATATATATATATATATATATATATATATACATCCAGGTAAAATGAGAACAAATTGTATAATGAGTATAATGTGTAGCAATTTTTAACATGTTTTTGTTTTAATATCCTAAAATAAATAATATATATATATATATATATATATATATATATATATATATATATATATATATTATAATACTTTTGACTATATATAAGATATTAGAAAAGTGTTGTTACTTCAGTAGTTATGTGTCCCTAAATATCAAATGAGGAAAATACAAAAATCGATACAATACTAAATTGAGCAGGTGTTCTGGTGGAAAATTGTTTCTTAGAAATATGCTTAAATTGAGATGTATTTAATACCATAGAAAAATATCATTATTAGCAGATGATACCTATCATTGCAATGAAAGGAACAACCAAGTGCTGGTAAATGAAAAAGAAGGTCCTAAATTTACTGTGCTACTGGCAAAAATAAATAAATAAATAAAATAATAGAGCATTTTTGATCAAACACTGACAAAGTGATGAACAAATGCAACACCTTGTCTTCTCTCTATCCAAGTTTGGGAAAATCTTTAACAGTTTTGGAAAACACTCTTATGAAAAAAATTGCTTCTAAAAACCCTAGTGATCATGAAATTACTCCCAGGAAAATATTTCCAAGTTTGAACTGCTTTTGAGTAACAAGAAGAAAACACTATTTACATTGTTCAGATTGTTGTCCTCATCTTAACTAAGATGAGGGCAACAATCTGAACAATCTGGGGGTAGATTGTTCTAGTTCCACATGTCATGCCTCTTCCAGATATCTCAGTTTCAGTTATTTCCCTTTAATAACTCAACTCTCCAAGTTTTTGTTCACCTCTGTTGTGGCCAGGTATTGAACTCACAACTCTTTGGGTCAAGTCACAACCAACACTTTTATCCATTTGGGGCATGTGTCCTTGGTATATCTATATTACACTATTTACTGTGGCATAGTCACTGAATGGTGATGGCCAAGATACAGATGACATTCCAACCATGGTGTTTTGAAAATTTGGCTAAAGCAGTAGGTGTCATAAAACCTGAAAACAGGTGAAAAGGATTCTGCTGCAATACTACTAAAATACTCCCAACTTGCATGCCACCTTTCTTTGACATCTGTCCCCATCACTAAGAAAAAGAGAAAGTCAGCATCTACATTAGCAACAGGACTTTAATCTACAAAGTAATTATATTGAATCTGAAGAGGACAGAATGTATCCTTGTGGGCAAGGGAGACAGGTATGATGCAAGCTACTAATTGCATACATCAAAATCAGGTGAAGTACAAACATTTAACTGTCTGGGAAGTGTTTTAATAGATGACAAAAAATGTGACACAAAATTCTGTATGTGCATTGGAATAGGGAAAGATACTTTCTAAAAGCTAAACAAAGTATTATGAATCAGGAAAATTTTGTTTGCAACAAAGAAAAAAGTACTGAACTGCTACGCAATATCAATTCTTTTATATGGCAGTGAAAGCTGGACAATCTCCTCACAGATGAAGAGAAGACAAGAGGCAACAGAAATGTGCTTCTACAAAAGAACGCTAAGAATACCATGAATTACGCTTGTGTCTCCAACACCACATAACAACCACATAACAACCAGATAACAACCAGATAATAATAAATAATATTTGTTTGTTGTTTTCATGTCTTGCTGTTTATCATTGTTATTCGTACTTTTGTATAAATGTAAGGGAGTTCATAATTATTTACTCAGAGTTATTACTCTCCTTCTGTGTGGCTATTTTTAGTAGGCCATACTGTAAATAGATTCGATAAGAATTATTTTCTATTTATTTCATAAATATATCTGATTAATTATTTTTCCATATTCAATCAAAGTTTTCATTTAATTTCTTGCAGATTGCAGTAATTGAAAGAGTAAATAACTTATTCCATTCCACTGACTGGAATAACAGTGAATTGAAAGAGTTGGGATTTATTATTGAAGAAGTGAGTATATATATATATATATATATATTACATGAATCATTCATACAAAAAACAGATTAGTGAAGTTAATGATATAAATAGCATAAATACATCTTCGCAAACAAATTTATTAAAATTACATTAACCCACAAACCTCCAGATGAATGTTATGATCCCTGTTTTTAATAAATTCAACTTGTATAAGGTCTTTCTTTGTTAGTACTTTCATCTGTTCATATAGACATCATCAGGCATGGAAATTGATTTGTTTTTTTTAATACATACAGGTAATAACAGGTCATGAAAGATTAGATGTGAATCGAAATATACAGATGTGGACAGAGTTATTCAACCCCACTTCCATAATTAAGCTGTAATACCCCAAATTTTCATGATGAAATAATGCATTTGAAAGAATGTACAGTGAAGTCCACAACAAAATAAATTATTTTAATGTCAATAAAACAAAAAACATTTAACATATGACAAAAGTATTAATTTTCTTGCCTCGATTGTGTAACCTTTATTCTTGATTATTGACTTTAATTGGTTTTGATAGTTCCTTATAAGCTTGAGTGACAAGCGCAAAGTCCTGCTCAATAAAAGCATCTAGTGACTGACTTCGTTGATACATTCCAACCCTGATATCTTTACATCATTCACAATATCCTTTGTCATTAAGTGAGGATTCTTTGAAACATCTTTTCCTTTCTATTCCCTTAGAATAATTTTGAACTGCACCAGTTTTTGGAAAATCTATAACTATGAGTATCAATAGATAAAAACTTCTAAAAATTTCACAAATTGTTAAAAACTAAATATGGAATCAACTATTTATGGTAAATTCATTAAGTACTTGCAAATATTCGCATTTCCTTAAAAAAATATGTAAATATTCAGTGGTGGCAAATAGTTATGTCCACAACTGTACATTTTTCTATTTATAATTCTATTACACACATCACGATGGCGTAATATATAGTGGCTCAGATTGAGGAATCAGAGTTGAGTTCGGATTCCAGTTGAATCCATTACATTTACTTACGTGCTAATACCCTTGGGAAAGGCATGAATGCTCTTCTCCCCCAGCTATCAGTAAACAGCAGGACAGATTGAAATGGCAACCTACTGTGGGAAAAATCTGCCTTGTCAGTCATATATTGAAAGATACATCATCACCTAAGTGTGACTGATACCCCACTACTATAAACACACATTTCTACTATTTCCTCACTTTTAAGTTTCACTTATTTGTTTATGTAATGAATGTATTAGGCAGGGATATTTTTTTACAAGAAGGATTATGTCGGGATTTCTTTTCCTGGAAAATAAAATGTAATAAAAAAAAATGAGAAGCAAGAAATAAATATAAAATATGTCCCTTCAAGATATAAACAATCATAGTTCTTCACAGATTCTTTTATTTTATTTTCTGTGAATTGCTGTGCATTCTTGGGAAAGAAAGTGAACTGGTTTCCATTGCCTTCTTCATATATTTTAATAATACTGCATAATATATTTAACTTTCATAGAAGGAAATTAATCTGGCCTAAATTCTTTTTCTTCCTTGAGCTTTTGGTATCTGTAGATTTCCAGAATCAAATTATTCAGTTTTATATCAATCTCATCAAAACTGATATGAGCATCATATATAATATTAGAAAGAAAAACAAAAATCTGTACAAATGTGAGTAACCTGTTTTGATCAGCTTCTTGTACAAATTTCCTTGTACAGAAAGTAATTTTCATTGATTTTCTTCCTTAGATTATGTCACAAGTTTTCACCTCACATTTGTTCAGTTCATGATAGAAAATTAAATATTTTTTTATTGAAGCAGAAACACATATTTTTGTTTTTACTTTTAATGCATAATAAACAAATCTACAAGGTACATGAATGATACAAAGTAACTGTTGCTCATAAGTCAGATATTTTCAATTATATTTTACTGAGTAATCTAATTTTCAAATGGATATCATGATTAAATTTAGCTATAACACACACACACAGATACATATATTCAAATGTTATTTTAGGTTATACTAGTAAATACTAGTATAACCTAAAATAAAAGTAGATGTGCTATTTTTTTTTAACAGTGTTTATTTCATCTAATGGACTGTATACTCAAGAAAATTTAATAAAGAAAATATGCCCTTTGGCAGGCTTTGAACCCATGTCTCCATTGTGTAGAAATTTAAAATCTTGGAAGTGTTTTAAACAGATCCTGGAAAATGTGAGACAGGGATCTTAACATGCATTGGACCAACAAAAAATGCATTTCAAAAGTTAAACAAGGTACTGCAAAATGGAAAGTTTTTCTAGATGCAAAGGAAAGAGTACTAGTGTGCTATGTGGTATCCATCCACTTACATGTCAGTGAATGCTGGACAATCTCCACATGGATGAGGAAAAAAACTGAGGCAGCAGAAATGTGGTTCTACAGCAGGATGATTGAAATTTGACAGATGGAATGAGTAAGCAACATGGAAGTCTTAAAGAAAATGGCAAAAAAAAGAACCCTTATTCTTTGAACACATAGTGAGGAAGGAGAGCTTGGACAACATAACTCTCATGGGCATACTGAGGGCAAGAGAATGTGAATAGATGGCAGAATGAGGGAGGGCAGGAGTATTAAGAAAGAGAGAAAAACTGCTAAGGACCACAAGTGAAGGGCCATGATTGCCTATGTCCTGAAGGGATTCAGCACATAGAATAAAAAAATCTAGAGAGAACACAAATGAATATTAAATTGTTTCATTTTTTATACATTAATGTTATATTAAAAATATCTCTTCACATGGCCACCTATATATATATATATATATATATATATACATTTATATATTTATTATTTACTGTATCACTATATATGCAATCATTAGATTCAGTCAAAACTTGAATGTTTAGTAAATGCAATATTTATGCTCAGAATGATATCAAAAAAGAGCAATGCAAAGGGATATATACAGTGTGCGATGGATAAATTATCATCTAAATGATGCAAAAATGAAAATAACCATGACATCTCATTTTAGCAGATATATTTACCAAAATTACACAAAAATATCTTGAAATATGTTGTTACAAGAGGTTTTGTTGGTCTCTCACTTAACTATGCCCCCACATGATAATCAAAGGGGTTGCAGTCTGGGGAGTTATGTGGCCAGATATAAGAGGTGATGTAATTGCAGAAATTGCCTGACAGCCTCTCTCACTTGTGTGGTATAGAGTCCTGTTGCTAGATATAGGGTCTTGCAGCAGCTACCCTATTGACCTAAGGCAGCACTACCTCCTCAAGGCACTTGATATAGGCCTCTTTTTTGAGTCTGAGGCCCTATAGGAAGATGAATGGAGGCCTAACATTGCCATAACTGGGGATCAGTCAAAACACCTTTGTAATCACCATTAGACTTATCCAACTCTTTCTGAATCCTCTGCACTATCCTCAGATTAACACTCAAACACTTTGAAATATTCATATTGCAGCTTCTGACACAAATGCCAAGAAGTACAGCATGCCATTTCCAAATTTCTGGTGGAGTGAATTGTGTCATGGTGTTCTTTTTCTTGTAGACTGTGCCCAAATGATCCTACTGTCCTGTGCAGTCAACAAAATCAAAAACAAAAAACATGCATATGCAAAATTAAAAATATAAAATGCCAACAATTTATTCATCGCATCTTCTATTTTATAGATTATGCAAAAGTGTATGATAAAGTGCATCACAATGAACTGTTTGAACTGATAGGTAAGCTATTTTGGGATTCATTTAGGTAAGCTACCTATTTAGTAAGGATATTAGAATAATCCAGAACTTATATTGGGAACAAACCACCTACATATAGATAGATAATGAATTCAGTATATATATATATATATACAAAAGTAGAAAGGGGCATAAAACAAGAAATTATCTTTTCACCAAACATTCAAACTTTTACAGTGAAGCAATCATGGGAGAATTAGAAGATCTACTAGGCTTCATTATTGGCTGCCGCAATCTTAACAACATTAGATATACAGATGACACAGTGTTTTATATCATTTTTCTGATCATTTTACCCTAAACAAGGTAATAAAGCCACTAGGATGCAAGAGGTTAGTGTTAGAAAATATGAGAAAAGCTACTATTAAGGAGATAGGACAATAAAAGAATAAGAATTAAGAAGACAGAAGATAACAATTGACATTGCATTTAAACTTTTGAAGATCAAAGTAGACTGGGAAGCAAAAAGCTGGAAGTGGGTTCTACAAGCAAGAAGTGTGATAAAAAAAACTGCCAGCATAGAACTTAACACTATAAATTGATAAGATCTTGCTGGCTATCTAGTACTGCACTTAAATTCATAAATCTAGGTACCATAGAGGAAGGTTCATCAGAATAATTACTTTGAAAGTATTTATAGAAAAGGCACAGGGAAGCTACATTACAGTGATGGGAAAAATACTAAAGACAGGTAAGGACCAATAACATTGCAAATTCTTCTTTGGATTTTATCAAGGATCTCTAAATATATAGCAAGAGAACCAGACCAAATGTGGCAGCAATATTCAAAACAAGAATGAAAGGTAAACCTTATAAATATGTAAGAAAAACATTATAACATGGGATAGTGAACCAACTTTCTTAGCTGCAGACTTAGCAATTTATTTAATATACTCTTTCCACTTCATATCAGCTGAAAAAATTAGTCCAAGAAGGTGCAATGAGTCACTTTCTTGGAGGTTAGCATAAAGCATGCTGATGGAAGGTAAAAAGAGTTCTCTCAGATGATTAAAATAGATCAATTTCATTTTTAAGACATTAAAATTAACAAGTGACTCCTTACTACATTTGACAACAAATTGTGGGTCATTTTTGAGATCAGCTGCCAATTTGACTTTATCAAACTGATCACTTACCATTAAAACAAGAGTAAATAGTTGTATCATCAGCATAGATACCAAGTTGATCACTGATGACATTAGTAAGACCATTTATGAAAATTAGGAATAATGGCACTCCAAGGATAGAGT